AGCTAAACTGGCATCCCAGGCAAGGAATCTGTTTTGGATTGAAATGTTATAGGTGGCGACTCTGCTGGCCCAGATTCGGTGCCTTTTCTTCTTGTTTAGCATCCATCATGCAGGTATTATTTGGAATATATCCAGGCAGGGATCATCCGCTCAATTTAGAGGGTGTATTCACTCTTAAGTAAGTGATATAGACCCTCAACGGTCTTAATTATAATAGAAAATGTGTTGTGATTTTTTTAAAGGTAACATGTTTATTCCCTTCTGTTCAGTTGCACATAGATTTATTTTGCCAGTGTCCAACAGATTCACAGCTTTACAGACGCACTGGTCTTTCTAATCAATTGCATACAGCATACCATCCATTTATAACATTCTTGTTTCTCTTTCTGTAGAATCCCCCTGCAGAACCATTTTCCTGAAATCTAAACCAAGTTATTCTGCATTCATTCATTCATGTACATGTGTCTGGTGGGGAGAGGGGACATGTTTTTGCCCTAGATATGTATAAAAATGGACACAAAATCTTCTTTATGCAATGGAGATCAAATTCGTAATGTTTGGAACTTGTTTCTGATCCTGCCAGTGTGGATGAAACAATTTGAAAGCTTTGGCCTCGAACTACAACATTTTCTGAAGAAATTTATTTATCCAGAAAAAGGGTACATTATGCAGTCATCAGATTTTGTGCTGTTTATGAGTACACTATTTTGCTTTTAGATATGGACGTGACCGAGAATTGTAGTCTAATTACGTCAAGCTACATTAATTTCAATGATCTACCTTGTGTATTATCAGCCACACCTGTGCTTCCCAAATTCCTTTAGATAACTCATATCCCTATCAGATTGTGAACTTTGTTTTTGTACCCAAAAAGTGTACGTTTCATTATGCATTTTGGTGCACACTGAGAGGTACGCAGTGTTCCTATTGATGGTGGTACAGACATTTCAAAAGTGCCCCTTTTTCCACAAAGTTTTCAAAATCAAGCATTTTCAAATGCATTTCTCTTTAATCCACAAATTGCAGTTCAAGTTTGGAAATGGAGAGACTTCAACTGCAGATTGTGATGGAGTCTCTGTATAATTCTGGAGGTGTAAAGTGAGTAAATTTTAGTCCAAAATGAATTGAAACAAATTTCTCATATATCCATTTTTTGAAACCAGACAAAGTGAATCAAAACATTTTTGTTTGCTGAAAGTTTTCTGTTAACCTTTCTGCTGAAACAACGTCCCCAAGGTAGCTTATTACATTGTGCCATCATAAACTATATTAAAACAATCCATAAAAATGTAGACACTCTAAAACATGAAAGATGAATAACAATTAGAACAGAGGAGTAAAAACAATAAATCCTGCAGCACATTTTTGCTTTGCAATAAAGAAGCACTGAGAAAACCAAAAAACTCAGAATCACAGCCAGCAGTATTTGGATTTTTTTTTCTTTTTTCTTTTTTGGCATTTATTACCTATGAGTGTGTGCATGAGTGTGATTCCCTTTAAATTATATAAGGCAAAAATATTTCAACAAAAAACACAGTGATTTTGAAAGGCATTACTAAAATCATTCCCCCACAGTACATAGATTCATTTGAGTTGTTTCATTCTCTCTGGGGGAAAAAAATCAGTTTTCATTCCTGCATGCATTTACCTGGGGTAAATTATTTTATTTAATATACATATTAAGGTATATTTAAGCTTCCTTGAATATAGTTGGACTTGCCTCTGAGTAATCAAGCAAAGGATTGCACTTCCCAGTGTAGAATTGCAGGCATAACATCTTGCATTAAGAAGTTTGCATTGTGGTCTTTTCAGTGGCAGGTAACTCCTCCCCCACTCCCATCCTTTATCCTTTATTATGTTCTATTGTATTTCAATGTATCTCATTGTGTTGTAAGCCGCCCCAAGGCTTCGGCAAGGGGCGGCATAGAAATGTTATTATAATCATCATCAACATCATCATCATCATCCTTGGTCTTCCCCCACTTTCAGTTAAAACAAAATGCATCATGCACTATATGTTCCTTGGACTGCCAGTAGCTTTTATTTTGTTTCTTTCTTCTTACTGCAATTTCATATTTTATCATGCCCTTTTTAATATGATTTTATGCTATTGTATTTCATTGCCTTATTTTGTCCACTAGCCAGAGAGTTTCAGTTCTGGGCATTGTATGGATGCAACATCCAAACCTGTCGATCCACCTGAAGGATGTTGTGGGTGACTCAGTCTTCCCACAAAGAGGGACCACCCCACATCCCACAGCATCTTTCAAGCAGCAGCAAGATGATGTTACAGCACACTCTGGCCCTCCCACAGGAAGTGCATTCTGTCCATGTTTAGGCAGCCATCAGAGACTGTACTGACAATATTTCTTTTAAAGACTTGGGCGAGGGGGTGCAGAGAATGCTGATCAGATGTGCAGGTGACTTTGAATGGGGTGGGATAGCTAATGCCCTGGAAAGCAGAAACAAATTTCCAATGGCTCTTGATAGGCTGGATCCTAGGCTAAGTCCAATTTCTCACCTACTCCTGGTGACCCCTGCTCACTTCCTAGAATTCCTCACATCTATGCAGATTATCTCAACCTGAGATCCTAGGTGGCTGTCAAAGCTGGACAGTCAAAGTTCAACTTCCCTGCTGCTCATGATCACCTCTTTCCATTTACCAAAATTCTTCAGAATCTTTCCCAATATCTCTGTTCTGGGAACCATTGGATTGTACATTCATCTTATCCCTGTAACAAGTACCTGTCTTTTGCATTCCTCCTGTACATTATTCTGTACATGAATGTATTTTCTTTATTCTTTTTAGGTATACATAGCATAAAAGGAAGGGGAAAACACCTTGGTGCAAAAGTGAGAAACATGCAGAGTACATTAACACAACCAAATTATTCTACTTTGCAAAATACAAAAGACGTTTTTGAGGTTTGCTTTGTTTTTAAGTAACGAGTGAACTTTCTCTTAACTGTTACCTAACTGAGAATAATTGCAGTGTTGAGCTGAGTAAAAGGGAACCCAGATCATTTCAAAACCTAGAGAGAGCAGTTTCCAGGGGAAAAGTCCCTTTCATTCCCCCCAGAATTAAATTTTGTTTTAATATCAGGTTGTGCTCATGAGTCCGGTTGTACTATGGGCGTGTTAGAATATGTACAAATAGAGCCAGAATCAGTTGACTTTTTGTCATTGTGAACTTGGGCCATCCATGTTCAGTGTGCTAAATTTACGATGGAAGTGCTGACTCAAGCAACACAAATATAGCGGCACCACTGAACACTGTGGTAATTATGCCACATTATATTAGAACATATGGTATAATTTAGCTAAGCATAAAAGCATCCTTCTTTGTCAATGTGTTGCTCATCACTGTTGCCAATTACAAATCTGTAATAGTAAAGGTAATTCATAGCTTAGCTGCAGTATTAAATGATGGAGTGTTTCCCTTTTTGCTCAATCATTGATCTTTCAAATTTTTCTGTTTGATAGCATTAATCACATTTATTAGCCAAGTGCTTATCATAAAGAATATTGAGTGTTTCTGTGCTGTTACTTCCATCTTCAATTAAGATGCACTTTTTACTGCTACTGTCCTTTTCATGTCAATGAAATATTACTGATTTTAATTGGAAATCAAGTTAATGAATTACTGGCAATGTCAATAAGCCAGACAGGTTCTTTCCCACTGCTCACACAAGCCTTTACCAATGCAAAATCAAACTGAGTATTTTTCTCCCAAAACTGGAAGGTGTCTGAAGTAGCATTTAGCCTCTTCAGAGGTTTTAACCACTGCGTAATCATTATGGCACAGAATTTCTATGTTTCTGACATTGCAACAGAAAATTGCCATGGAAAGCTCCGTGGCAGCTGGGGCGGAAGCCCCGCTCAGATTCCCCCTATTCTGATATCACAGCCTTGCAACAATTCTTAGAGGGGTGGGGAATCCACCGTTCCCTGTGGCTCCGGGGATGCTCTCCCAAGCACCACAGGCTTGCTCTGTGCATCACTTTGCCTATATTTAGACATAAAGGTCTTATCTTAGGAAAAGCAATTGACCAAAACATAGAACAAGAAGTTCAGTGTGGATCAGGGCAGTGTGTGCTCTATACTTTGGGGAAGCAACAAAACACCCTTCCATAGTAATGCAACACCTTTAAAAAATCCAGAATCTACCTTTTGGGCCAGAGTCGTGCAAAGAGCAACTTAATTCTCTGAGCCATATAAGATGTTCATGGGCACATATTTGCTTCCGATTCTGAATTTATTCTGTATTTCCTACTCATTATGTGGAAGGACAATCAGCTATCCAGGCTGCAGGGTCCTGCCCACCTGGCTTCCTCCCCTGCCTTCCACTCCAAGATTTGTGTGCTTGCTTGAAGAACTGAATAGATTTGGAACCTTCTGCTCTACACTGCAGGGAAGAGCAGCGGGTAGATCCGCAAATGTTTTAGCCTTCAGCTCCCAGCATTACTGCTTATCAGCCATGCTGGCAGGGGCTGATAGGAAATGGTGTCCCAAGCATTTGGAGATTTACCCTTGCCTTCAGAGCATGCTCCTTCCAATGCAGTCCAGAATTCTAAGGGTCAGGGTTTCTGTGTCACTCTTCCTGTTCCGGTCCTGGGAAAATCACACCTGCCTGCCCTCTTTGCACTGTGGAGTCCGGCTGAATAGCGACAAGAGTGTAAAAGGTGCAAGAGTGAAGCCAAGAAGATTGAAACTTCGCTAGAGCCATTAAGCATGTCTATTGTGCAGTGGCCTGGGCAGCAAAGACCGGGCTAGAAGGACCCAGGATCGCTCAAGCAGCTTGACAGGATTAGAACTCGTTAGGTGTGCCTCCCTGTCTGCCATCATTCTGTTAATCCTCCTTCCATCCACAGAAGCAAAATAATGTTTTCGTGGTCCTAGATCAGAAAAGAAAATGAATTGCTGGGCAGCAGCCTGCATCTTCCTTCCGGTCAACTGTTTAAAATCTTGTCTTGCTCTCTTCTGGATATGTTCTTCTGCAGGGGGAAGCGAATCCTCATGGGACAAAGAGAAACTCCAGTCTCCGATCACAACGGGATCTCACCATGGAGTGGGTCATGCAACACTCTCGGGGCAGCCCAGCTTGGGGACGGCACATCCTCTCAGCCCTCTGCAGCAAAACCATCTGCTCACCAACAGTAGGTATCCTGGCCTGGGGTGCACACTGGGACACCCCCATTTTCCACATGGCGTGGAGGCTTGGGGAGAGGGGACTCCTCGCTTAGATTCTCCCCCCAGGCTCCACAGATGGCCATTGGATCACTCTTCTGATTTTGCTAGATGCGTTGAGCCAAAACTCCCTTGGAGCATTCAGGAAGTTCTTAGCCAAGCTCTTACTTAGTCTACGATGCACGCATCAGGTCAGCTTGTCTCAGAGTGCAAAAATAATTTCCCAAGCATCCCAAGCCATAACTTGAGAAATTTAACGAATTGTCATTTGTTAAATTCTTCTTCCCATCATGTAGTACTGCATCAGTCTCCTGCAATGTCACGCAGACACAAAAATGGCTGGTGAAAAGCAATAGGATATTTTTCTATCCACCTCAACAGGAAGCTAATGGTGTCCTTAATTACCTAGACTGCAATTATATGCTTACCTACCACAGAACTCCGTGTCACTTTCTTCTCCATAGATGTGTGTAGAATTGCACTCTCGGAGCCCTTATTATACCTATGTTTGGGCCCACGGCAACAGGCCATTGGAACAGCCAGATTGTCTCTAAACGCTGGAGGGAAAAATTCCCAGTTCCATGGGTTTCTTCGATAATTCCACTTAGCTTAGTGGTTTAACCTCATTGAAACATGCAGCTCCCTTCCCCTTCTCCATCTCTCTTCTCTCCCCACACGCAAAAGAATGCATTGTTCAGGCAGGAGAAGGAAAAGAATACAGATGAGATGCATCATAGAGTGACAAGGGGTCAAGAAAATGGTTGTGAAAGAGCGATAGCAAATGAGTAGGGAAGATATAAGACCTGCATGGTGATGTTTTCCTTTGCATTCTCCTTACGTTTTAAAGATGGGGTTTGTTAACTTACTTGGAATATATTTTCCACCATCATCATTTTCTTTACAGGTTTCAGTGGATGCATTGACCCATTCACTGTGACTCATAGAATACCTTCTGTGGTTCCATATATAGTTAGAACTTGGTAGACTTTTTGCAGCATTCCATCCCACAGCCCAGCTTGCATGTGTGTTTATCTATTCCATTGAATTTTATGTTCTAGTTTGTGTGGTTCAACAGACTTACATCAGTCATGATGTCTGCACAAAATTAGAATTTCTCTTCATGGAATCTCTCTCCCTCTCTCTCATTTTCTCTCTCATTCTCTCTCTCTCTCTCTCTCTCTCTCTCTCTCTCTCTCTCTCTCTCTGTCTTCCTCATTCTCTCTCTTTCAGGTTAGTTTGGTATCATTAAAAGCAAAGCTAAACATAATGCTGCTCACTCACTTGCCTTCCTCAAATCCATTTAAGGGTCTATCAAATATCGGACGTTATTTGCGTGCATGAGGTGGGCTCGCTTTTGAAAATGCTTGCTGAACTGGCCCTTAACAACTGGTGCTGTGCTGTGATATTCTGTCTGAGTTTGCATTTCGTTTGCATGTCAATTGGTCTCTAAGTAGACGCACTACTCCGGGTGGACAGATGGCGTCTGCCGGCAGAGTGTTGAAACTCTACCGAGTAGGAGGAAAGATTACCAGGCTGCTGCTGGGGCATTGACGAGGGAACAAAGATTTATGTTTGCATGAGCTCGGCGGGTGCAGTGAGGGGGTGCTGGGACAGTTTAGGGAAGCGAGTGACGCCCCCGGCACTGCTTTGTAACCCATCGTGGCTGTTGGTTTATTATTTATTTAGCTGCATCTCCATGCCTGTTTCCCAGGGGCATGGCGCAGATAACATGCAAACAGATTTCAGGAAGCAAGTATAAATATACGAATTGTCAGTGGAAAATATGCAAGTAAATATACCCCGTCAGTCCTAAATTCTTGCTCAAATTCTTTTTTTCTAAGGGACTTGCATTCCTGTGGGTCCTACACGGCAGGGTGTATTTGACCTTTGTTCTAGGAATGATGCAGAGAGGACCTTACATGGTGCGCTGGCTCACCTTTGTTTTCCAAGAACAATTTCATCTATTGTTGAACAATTTCAACATGCTTGGATCTGTTCACACATTAATGTGTTAGATCTTGCATACCACAGAACTGGTTCGGATCATCATCTTTATGGACTGAGACTCAGGAGATCTGAGTTCTAGTTCCTTCTCAGCCACAGGTTTGGAGCTACCGCCAGTGTGGTGGCATGGTCAGGAGCACAGAGCCAAGACTCAGGCAACCTGGGTTCTAGTCCCTGTTCAGCCATGGAGCCCACTGGGTGACTTTGGTCCAGTCACAGACTCTCAGCACAATCTACCTTATAGGGTTGTTGTGAGGATAAGATTGAGAGCAGCGGAGGAGAAAGATGTAAACTGCCTTTCTCCAAAGGAACAAAGGCAGGATATAAATATTATAATAAATAAATAATAAGCTCATGTATCCTCTCTTCCTTTCTTGCATACTTGCAACTTGGGAAGAGAGAGAAAACAGCCAAAGTTCCCCTGCTACATGAGAACTCGATAAACCATGGTTTGCTTTAACCATGTTTGGCAGACCTGGATCAAACCATGATTTTCTATCCCAGGCTTCCTCTAAAGCAAAAATGGAAGGCTTCTTTCTTCTTAGGTCACACAAGCCAAAGAGGTAGCTCACACACCAAAGGCCTGCAGAATGATTTGTAATCTGAATCAGGGGTGCTAAACTTCAAGCCCAAAATAGGTGTCCAAGCTGGGGTCCCAATCCAGCCCTCCAAGGAGAAGTCTATGATCCCTTCCTGTGGCCACATTTTTGAGTGGTTTTCTGGTTTTTGCATGTTCGGTGGTTTCCCAGCTTGATTTTGTTCTTCCTTTTTTAAGCACTAAGTCTATCTGCTTACAGAGCCTTTAGACCAATTTAGTGGTAGATAAGATGAAACTCAAATGCTTTGGCCACCTAATGAGAAGGAGGGACTCACTGGAGAAGACCCTGATGCTGGGCACCATTGACAGCAAAAGGAGAAGGGACCGGCAGAAGAGGAGGTGGCTGGATGGGGTCACTGGGGCAGTGGGTGTGAGTGTAAGTGGACTCCAGGGGATGGTGGAGGACAGGAGATCCTGGAGGAATGTTGTCCATGGGGTCATGATGGGCTGGACACGATTTTGCAACTATTTTTTTAAAGGGGGTGGGGAAAGGCCATCAGGTCCAAACCCCTGCTCAGTGCTGGACCCCCAGTGAAAGCATCACTCCAAGTTATCCTAAATCCCACTAGTTGAAATGTATGGCTGTGAAAGCTGGACCATAAGGAAGGCTGAGTGCCGAAGAATTAAGGCCTTTGAATTGTGGTGCTGGAGGAGACTCCTCTGAGTCCCTTGGACCGCAAGGCGATCAAACCGGTCAGTCCTAGAGGAGATCAAGCCTGACTGCTCTTTAGAAGGCCAGATCGTGAAGATGAAACTAAATACTTTGGCCACCTAATGAGAAGGAAGGACTCCCTGGAGAAGAGCCTAATGCTGGGAACACTAGATGGCAAAAGAAGAAGGGGCCGGCAGAGGATGAGGTGGCTGGATGGAGTCACTGAAGCAGTCGGCGTGAGCTTAGGTGGACTCTGGGGGATGGTGGAGGACAGGAGGGCCTGGAGGAGTGTTGTCTGTGGGGTCGCGATGGGTCGGGCAGGACTTTGTGACTGAACAGCATGCTCTAAAGAAACAGAGAGAGGGAGAGAATGGACTAGTTACGACCACAGCATCAAATCTATGGAGTGCACACAGTCTTGAATGAAATGTTGGATAGCTCATAGCTGTTCACTGCCTCGTCTCTGCACTGTTCCAGGAATAGATCTGCCATTCATGATGATGCCCCACCCACTTCTTCCAGTTGGCCTACCTCCTGCTTCTGTGGCAATGGCTATGAATCAAATGAACCACCTCAACACCATCGCGAACATGGCTGCAGCGGCGCAAATGCACAGCCCTCTCTCGAGAGCAGGAGCTTCCGTTATAAAGGTGAGTCTCAAGACAGAGCCATGCAATCTGGAGTGATGGGTCGATGGATGGTGTGTGTGCGCGTGTGTGTACTTCTATCTCTTTACCACTTGCTCTGCCTCTCTGCGTACTGGCTTCCTTCATCCTTGGTAACACAGTTGTGCTTTCAAATTCACACTGAGAGCCAAAGCAATGGTTCTAGGAACATGGAATGGATCCAGCAATTTCCTCTTCTGTTGGAAGGAGGCTCTCCCAATGGAAGAGTGAATTCCAGCCGGATGAGTTCGCCCATCAGAGAGAGACCCTTGCGGGGGGAGTGGAAGCTTCGGATCCAAGTTCCCAAGATTGCTAGCCTAGAACTCCCCTCACTGTCGTGCCCCCTGATAAGCAAGGCCAGTGGTGTAGCACGTGTGTTTCATTTCAGCCTGGTACAATGACTCATACAATGCTCACACGTTTCTTCCTAAAAGCTTGAAATACACACAGTGAGCAATTGTTTTGGTTCTCATTTTAATATGACCATTTTTTGCCCTAATATGCAAACTAGAAGGCAAGTGTTAGATTCACAGTCTTGAGCTTGAAAAACCTTGGAAGTCATAGAAATTTAAACAAACAAATCTGCCCAAACAGTAACAGTGACTTACAGCGATTAAGTTTTCCATAACAGCATATTTATGCCCTTTGTAGAATAAAACACACAGTGATCATGTTCAAATACTGGGGCTTGTGTGCATTGGCACAGCTAACGGAGCATAGCAGAACGCACAGTGGCTCAGCGAACATCTTATTGTTGTGTCGCTCAGGCTTTCACAGTTGTTACCACCAGAAGCCAGTGTAGCTGATTTTCCACCCCGTGCATGTGCCATTTTTGCACTGCTCGACTTTCAATTAGACTTTTGCACTGCCGTGTTTTCCAAGCCTGGCAAGGTGTGTTGCAAGGACAGCTCCGAAAGCAGCATGGAACCCACGACGTTCAGTGTCCTGAGCCATTTTGGAAGCCACCCCCTTCCTCACAGACTTCACAGGCTTGGACAACGTGCCAATACACACACCTCATTTAGTGCCGCACCAGTGGGAGAAAGAAGCCTCTGCGGATGCTTCCCCTCAGTGATGGTGCAGACTCAGCCGCTGTGAGTGCTACTGTGTGCGGGACTCCATTCAGCTTCTGCATGCCTCCGTCTCTGAAAATGAACCATATGGACAAGTGGTACAAATTTGGCTTCGTTACAGAATCGTGCACCTTTGTTATTGACAGCGTGAACAGTCGGCTATGCAGGCATGTTCATTGCATGCCTCCATATCTGAAAATGATCACCAGACATGAAAGTGCAGCGTCTGTGTGAAAAGGTGCACGTTTTGCATGAAAAACCGTGCCATCCTGGCATGCCACGATTCTCTCTCACACTCTCTTACAGGCTTAAATAACGTGTTGAAGCTGCTCATCTGCAGTTTCAGAAGCGCTGTTTTTGTAACCATCAAAAACCTGTTGCACAGCTCTTCAGAGCTATCCTTTGGCCTGGGCCCGTTTTAGGGCCAGCTCAATAAAGCTGTGGCCAGCAAGTCCCTCTCTGTTTCCACGGGTGCCCCCAGGGGCCTCGGGGGGTGCAGCAAGGGCTACCTTTGTGACACCAGCATTGCCACAATACAGCCAAACCCTCCACCGTCGGACATCCTGTTCTGGGACATCGCTGAAAACAAAGGTGTCCATTTCCAGAATTGGTGGAAATGTCGTCGTCATTTTTAACAAGAGCCCACAGCAGAAGTTAGTGGAGCACTGCCAGCCCTGGCAGTCCTCTGCCACCCGCCATGTGCCGGGTTCACTGTTAGTGAATTCAAGTCACTTAACAGGTGACTCTGTCGAATAGATTTTGCTGAGCGACTTGCCAAGCTGCTGTGTAACTTAGCATGAGGATCGCTGGCTTTGTGGTTGCCTCTGGGGGCATCTACTCTGCCCTGGTGCCCTGGCCTTCCCACCCGCCGCCCAGAACAGCGTGTTCTCTCCCTGCATCCTCCACTCCAAAATGTGCCCACTCAGCAAAGTTAACATTCAGTACTCTGGAAAGAAATGTCATAACTATGAAATTTGATTTCATTGTGACAAGAACACTATAAATTAGAGGGTGGCAGAGTGGCCAGGTTTTGAAAGCCTTCTTGCCATCTGTAATCTAACCTAATGTGATTAGCAGCTCCTACTAGCGCTCATACGGTTAAGACTCTGTCAAAAACCCTATTATAAATCTCTGCCTTCAGGGATTTACAGCTCCACCGAGAAAACTTTCTCCGTCTGAAACTTGGCTCACTCTGAGCCATCCCCAGAATCAGAATTTTAAACAAGATGTCTTCAGCTGGGCGTGGTTTTAAAAAATACGAAGTGAGGGTACATTAACCATAGAGAGTCAGACTAGAACAACCATCTTAGCTTTGGTACTCTCCAGAAGTTTTGGACAACAGCTCTCAAGATTTCTAGTAGTAGGAACACGGCATGCTGCCTTAGACTTACTGGGTTCAGACAAGACAATAAGTCACACCCAGGGGCTTCATATGATTGAGTGTGATTTGCCATCGAACTGTAGGCTGCTGTTGAAGCAGGAATTATTGTGTTGTGTGAGCATGGCTAATGTGGTAAACCATGGTTAGCAACCCATAGTTCACAACCCCTCAATAAACCATGGATTTTCTTCCTGGGTCGTCCCTGGTTAACACAATGATTTGTTAGCTCAACTGGGTTCAGACACCATGCTTCAGCAACAACCCACACATAACCCACGCTGAACCCATGAGTGCAGGATCATTGTTTTGTCTGACCCCAGTGACTGAGTCAGACCATTGGTCCGTTTAGTGCAATATTGTGGCAGTGTCTTTCTGTGGTCTTCCAGGGGGTGCCAGGAGACCAAACATGGGAACTTACATGCAAGGTAAGTTCTCTGCCATTGAGACACATTCCTGAGCCGACTTATCTCTCAGTTCTATAGTGACTACAATTTCATTTCCTGCTGTACAGTCAGGATGAAATGAGCCGGAGAAAGCCGTACTTATTCCTCAAATGTGAGGGTTCAAGGCCCACAAGTGCCAGATAACATTCTTTCAAAGTTCAGTGCTAGGTTCTGCTAAATACTATCCAGTGCCCCGTTTGTACTTTTAACAGTGGAAGAGCTGTTTTGAGTTTGCAAATTGGCATGCTTTTCTGTGAAAACTAACCTGGGAATCTTATTAGACCAGTTGCTTATTAGTCTTCTGATATGCTCCAGGTCCTTTTAATGTTGGCTCAGCCATTAGCATTTGTCGTTAATAACAAATACAGTCCTAATGCAGGCTGGAAATAGCAATAACGTCATTAGATCTGGGAACATCATTTAATCAGTCAGACTCAGCATCGAACAAGGAATGTTTCCATGGTGGAAGGGAGATTGCATAGAGCTGGACAAAGGCCTAATTCGTTTGAAGAAAGTGAATAGAGAGTAGTTTTTGCCATGTGATAGAAGAAAGGGTTAAGCAATTATGATTTGGTAGTACATTTAAAATACCCAGAGGGCTATGCCTCCCAGTGCAAAATTCACCCATGTGTGTTCTAGACCGCAGTTCTTGTACTTCTGCATGGTCGGCCAAGTCCTTTTTCTTCTGTTTGTCCTCCCAACACTGTGCTTAGAAAGGTGGGGTGGATTTCTCTGCACAGGCTTCACTGGACAGCTGTGCTGCAGGGACTGGCCGGTAAGAGTGGGTCTGCCCCATGTCTTGACCTCCTAACAGCTACTGAGGGTGGCAGGTTGGCCATTAAGCTGTGCTTTTCCCAGTCATCTACATGACCAATTCTAATACTGGTTTGTTGAGGTCCGAAGACACTTTATAATAGTGGAAAGGAAGCTTCCGTTACTCTTTCTTGACTTCAAGAGAACTACCAGAATGTTGCATTCTTGTCTAGCTATTTACTAATATCACCTGATATCTCTAGATTTGTTTTTTGTTTAGTTGAGCAGCTGGCAATTAATGAGTTGATGAGAAATGGTCACAATGCAGTGAAATCAGAATGTGAACATCTGGTATGAAAAGCGAATACATGCTGAAGGTGACGGTAATTTTCCAGAGCACAGTGGAACATGCATCTGATTATAGCTCAGGCTGGTTGAGAGATTTGGCTGGAGGGGCCAGTGCTTGGGGTGAAGGCCCAGACTGAGTCCCTGATCTCTTTTAGCTTAAAAGCCTCAGAGAACAGATCATGAGGAAGACTCTGCCCAGGAGAATAGGCAATACTGGACTAGATGGACCAATTCAGTGCAGGCAGCCTCCTATGTTGTAAACCTTCCCGATACATTAGTAATGGGACGGTCTGTAAAAGCTTTGAATGAATGAATGAATGAATGAATGAATGAATGAATGAATGCGCAAGGGATAAGCTGCTTGTGCATCACCAGGACCACTCTGATGTGTTCATGTCATGGACATTTCTTCATTCATGGGTGTTGAACAGCGCAGTGCTCACAGGATCATTGAAGAGTTGGGAGGGACCAGTCAAGTCAACCGGTCCATGCAAAAAAAAGGCTGGCTCAGGTGTGCTGAGGGTCGTAGGGGGGTTTCCTGTCTAAACTTGCATAAGATTGTGCCTTGGGGAAAAATGCCCATGTGACCTTTACCTACCTCTAGGTAAGAGTTCACCCCAGGTTCTGGAGAACAGCAAGCAAATCCAGTGTGATCCTAATGTTTTCGTGACTTGAACTAAACCCTGCGACACGTTTGGATGAGGTAGCTCATCTGCAATTACTTGAGTGTGGCTGGTATGGGTGGATTTGGGTCATGGGGCAACGCAGTTGAAGTGGCTGATCAGAGTGCCTTCGCGTGGGTGGAAGTGGAAATCTGATGGTTGGACACCTGCTTTGTTGACCTGTCCTTCTGGCCCAGCTTCAGCCATACATTTGCCTGAACACATGAAACACTGGTGTTTCCTTGTCTTCACCCACTCAAGTGAGTACATGGACAACTGGGTGCATGGACTTTGAGTGCAGTTCAAACCAATGGAGAGGTTTCCA